GATGGTCTGGGTTACTACATATTTCTTCAAATAAACTCATGTCTCTTTCTTTAATCACATCAATTATCTGAACACTTTTTGTTGTGTATCCATATCTGTATGCTCGCCTAAGAAATTTATCAATCCGTTCCAGGTACTTCTTTTCAAGTGCAGAACCCCATACTTCGATTCCATAAGAAAATAAAGATATAATAAGTGCGTCGAAGAGAATTGTTAATTTTTTTTTAGAGTAGCCATACGATCTGCATATTCTCAAAATGTGCATTCGACTGCTAGCTTTAGATATCAAATTATTAACTTGAAGGTCCCAACAATTTGGATCATTCTGCAGTGTAGTTCCCAATAGTTTCAGCCAAGTCTTGCGTTCGATACCCGTTATTGGTTCTGGTAAAGGATTTGTTGATTTGCCACTTACAACCATTTCCCATATTTTATCTAGATTTAATGACATTCTGTTTGTTTCCGTCCATTTTTCAATATTGTCTACCTCAGCTACTGCGGAGTCATAATTATTTTTCACTGGAGCGCTAACAGTCATATCATCTGCAAATTTGACTAGTATGTTGTTATTTGGATCTTTGACTGTTAGATCATTTATCATTAAGGAAAATAGAAATGGTCCAAGAACTGTGCCTTGCGGTACTCCTTTGTTTATGTCTACATAATTTGTTTCTATTCCGTTTACTATTACTCTTTGTCTCCTATCAGTCAAAAAATTTCTAATCCAATTTATTACATATGGATTAATGTTGGTTTTTTCTAGCTTCTTACAAATGATGTTGTGAGAAACGGAATCAAAGGCTTTCTTGAGATCGAATGAAATCACCCTGACATGATCAACATCACCATCCAGCCAATTTAGCCATTTATGGTGACACATAATAAGAGCATCAGTTGCGCTGGTACCTTCCTTATATGCGAATTGGTCAGATTTTATTAATTGTTTTAGTTCTGATGAGATCTCTTTTTTAAACACTATTCTTTCGAACAATCTCATTATTACGTTCGTAAGAGATATAGGCCTTAATTGTGTACATTTTATAAGAGGGCTTTCCTTAGGTATTGGATTAAGATTGGCTAATTTCCATAGGAGGGGAACGCATTGCTGTTCCAATGACATGTTAAATATCTTTGTTATCACTGGGGCTAAATATTTTGCAAAGTCTTTCCATACCCAATAGGGTAGGCCATCAGGACCTGTTGATGTTTTCTTGACTGTACATGATATATCCTACAGTGTAGTTGCACTTCGCTCTGATTTTAAGGATGTTATGCCTATTAATAGAGTGCAGATAGTTGTCACAATGCTTTCATAAAAATGTCCCACTTTATTACCAGTGGACTCTGGGATCCAGTCAACAAATCTGGGATCTGAGTAAGTGGGGCAGGATCTTGTGCTTCCTTAGATAATAATATACATAAAAATATTACCCGACTGTGATTGGTTAATTTCAGTGCAGTTAATCCCAAACAGCAGTTAAATTTTCTGTAATCACAGTGCAATTTTCTGAAATCACAGTGTAATTTTCTGTAATCACAGTGCAAAAATCTGTAACAAACTGATGTGATTGGGGAAAAAACAATTTGATGAGAAAATCAACCAATCAGTTTAAAGCAGTTTAGTTTAAATAAGTAACGGTCACAGATTGCTTCTAAACAAAACAAATGTAGCGCCGCGCTACATAAAGTAAACGTGGACATTGGTTAGAAAATATGGCTTGTATCTTTTTTTTTAAATGGAAAAGCCTTCACCTTAAACAAAACAAACAAAACTTACATAGTTGACTGGAATTTTCAAGCGGTTAGCGTTGTATGTGATATAACAAAACCACGAAAACTTTGCCAGTCGAATATTTGCTATATAAAACGTAAGTTAAAACTACAATTGTCTCGAACATTTTTATGTAAATTATGAATAAGTACAGTAATAGCATGGTTTCTCGTAAAATTTGGATAAACATGTCTTTTCAAAGACCTCAAATAGCACTCGTCCTTCGGACTTGTGCTATTTTGTTGAGGTCTTTGAAAAACTTACTCGTGCATGTTACTGTTATATCCAAATTGCACTCGAAACCATGCTATTACCTATACTAAATATAATTTAATAATTTTAATGTAATTTCCATGCTAATACACCATGAGGCAAAGATATTAAAAAGTAGATGACACATCTGTTTAAGTGAGCTCATGTGAAATGGCCATAAAAATGAGGCTAAACTATTGAAATTAATATAACACTACTTACTGTAGCTGCAACCGGAGATCAGTTGAAACTAAACTTGAAGGCCAGTCCCAATATTTTCACACATGTGAAGGCATGATCAATACAATATTTTGATCAACCGTGAGTCCTATTTTTTCCATAGTTTGTAAGAAAGAAAGAAACTTTGTTACACTACCAAGTACCAATAGAAATTAACCATGGATAGAACCTTATTATTTTGTTAAAAAGGATCTTTTCTTCTCTGATATAACGTAAATCTTGTCAGCTTTGGCATGCATACACTCCTTCAGTAAAGTGGCAATGTGGCATGCTCGCTCTCTGAACTGGTCTCGCGACAGAATCATGAGCCATAACACACACGTCTTGATCCACTCTTCACTTGGGTTCATGCAAACATGGGTGATTTCATCTGAAGGTAGCATTCCAATCAGTGGAATGAATTAATAGAGGGGGACCAAGACGGGGGGGGGGGGAAGGTTTGCAAAAAATTAAACAAAAGCTTATTTTTTAAAATGTTTGAGGTATTAAAAATGTGTACGTTAGTGATCAGTCTTACACTAACTTAACTTATGTTTTGGAATTTAAGGCAGCACGATTTCAAAATAATAAGTCCAATATTAATGTTTTAGGTACTTTGATTAAATAAAGGACATTCTTAATTAAGTTACTTTGCTGCAAAAGTCTAACATTACATAAATAATAAATAAGTATTTCAATTTGGTTATTTTGGAAATAAAAATAAAAATTACAAAAGCAAGATCAAATTCTCAAATATGAAAAATTTCCATTTTGCCATTCACACAATCACAGTATATCAGATTTATATTTTATATAATTATTAAATTACATTTATTCAACATACCGCTATCTGGAAATTGTAAGCACGGAACTACTACGTGCACTTCCATGAAAGTACGCTGCTGGCCAGCACTGGGTTCAGTGTGCTTGGCAGCTCGCCCAGCAACCCCTCCCAAAAAAAAATGCTGGATCCACTTATATTCATTTTACACAGGATTAACATGTCCAAAGTAGATATTTCAAGCTACATGTGGGGATCCTCTCAGTCATGCCTGTAGAAAGTAGGAAGTTATGGAGCGACGCTACCTCCAAGCTCTAAAGGGCTAACTCCAAACCAAAATATACACTTGAGTAACTTGTGTAATTCAAGAGTTGAAATATGAATTCTGGAGTTACTGGCTAACTCCAAAAATGATTTGGAGCTATATAAGTATACAACTGCAAAAATAATTTAGGAGCTAGGCATCTAAGCCTGGAGTTACCGGCTAACTCCAATAATCATTTGGAGCTACGTATAATTCCAAAAATCATGAAAAAACAAGGTATCTAAGCCTTGAGTTACTGCCTAACTCCAAAAATATGTGTATAGCGAGGCGAGTCAGCCTATATAGCAGCTAGGTACAGTACATACATGTAAGGTTGAAGTTACTTGCTGTGTTGCCAACTCCAAAAATCATTTGGAGCTTGTTATCTAAGCCAGGAGTTACTGACTAACTGGAATAACTGCAAGAACTCTCAGAATGCACTTCTACAGTACTGCCAAGAAATAACTTATCAAAAACCGCGTCCAAGACGCGGGCATCTTGCGTCCACTGTGCGTCCACGGGCGCCCGCGGGTGCGTCCGTCCTGCGGGCGCCGTGCGTCCATCGTGCGTCCACTGTGCGTCTGCGGGCGCTTGCGGGTGCGTCCACTGTGCGGGCGCCATGCGTCCGCTTTGCGTCTGCGGGCGAGGACGCAGCTGAGAAAGAGTTCTATTCGTAGATCGTCGGAAATTATCGCGTTTCGCTTTTCATAAACAAACCGTGGGCGTCGGAAAATATTTATGTTAGCGATTTTACACCACGTTTTATGCTTATACACAAGCGTTGCAGACCTAGAATCCTAGATATTTATATTTCTAACATTAAACTTACCGTGAATTTCCAGAACTTGTGCTTCGTAAAGTTCCTTTTCGTATTTGATCTCTACTTTCGCACCTTCGTATAACGTTTGGTTTAAACCCAGTAATATTTTAACGTTGCCGGTTGGCAAAATGCACGTATGGTTTTATATCTTCTTCGAAGAAACCCAAAATACGTTTTGGTTGACAAGTTAGCGATCTATACCTCATTTCATTAGTCTGATAGTAATACGGATCGAGTGATGTTAGTCTGAGCTCTTCACTTCAGCTTTAGCGAATTATACTGCAACTTTGAAAATCAAGCGATGAGTCACAGTCATTGAACCGTGTTGAAACACAAAGACTGTTTCCTGGACATGTATAAAGGTATTCCATTAAGGGATTAAGAGAAGTCATTTATCCAGAAATTATATGGTAATTATCAATTTATATGACCATGTGCATTTACTGTTTTGGAAAAACAACACAAACTTGTTGCTGTAAATAAAATTATATAGTGGCTCGTAGTAATGGTATTTTATATAAAAAATCAAAAGCACTATGTATATTGTAAATGAGCATCTTCGTTTTAATATACTGACGAGTTACGGAGACATAACATTATTCAAATACAGAATTGCATATCAACTAATCGGCAATCTTCTACGAGGTAAGTCTGAATTTGAGTAGCAAATGAATGTGTTGCGAGATATATACTCGTTGTAGTCGTGATCTCACTGAGTTTAGTATATGTGGCTACATTATATTTATATATAGTTTATGTCTATTTTACGCTCCAATATACAGTCATATACGCTTCAATCACCACTCAAGTACGTGTGATTGCATTGTGAAAGCACTACGCTTATTGTAGTATAACGTATAACATTATAAAATGGTTATACTAAGTGTAACGCTTAGGTTAAATGAAACTCGATTTCGGATTCAACTTTTATTCTTTGCTTCTCCGATCAGTGACACTGATCTGTATTTTCACGACAAACTACGAGTATGATGCAAATATTAGTTCGTTTTTCCGATTATGTTACGACGACTGCGTCCAAGCGGACGCAGTTTTTAACTAGAGGCCGGACGCGGGCGCTTTGGAGGCAGGACGCGGGCAGAGCAGACGCAAGACGTGGGCGTTGTGGAGGCCGGACGCAGGCGCTCTGGAGGCAGGACGCGGGCAGAGTGGACGCAAGACGCGGGCGCTCTGGAGGCAGGACGCGGGCAGACGCGGGGACAAGTTATTTCTTGGCAGTACTGTATATTCCACTGTATTAAATAAGACTGAAATACCCAGAATATGCGCATAAACATGACATTGACACACTTGGCATTTTGTTCTCGTTCAGAGGCTAAATTTTGATCTGCAGTTGACTGTTGAGGCAAACCCATTCTCGTACACCGCGTCCTTGTCATGCTCTGTTGATCGTGTGTAAGGCAGGCTCTGGGTACGAGAATGTGGCATAGCCTAGCTCCATTTAAAGATTGGCTCAGGGCCGGATTAACGTTCCGCGGGGCCCGTGGCATATTATTGGAGCGGGGCCCCTTGACCCCCCCCCCCCCCCCAACGGCATTTTAGACCCTGAATTCAGTAAGATTTAAAAATATCCTTTTGTATTTCATGCGTTGAAAAGTGTCCTGTGTATTTACAAAAAAAGAAAGAATTATACATCAATAATTTGATCGAACTGAAATTCAACCCAGTTTATACTATTAACATTATTATTATTTACAGGGGAAAAATAGCTAAACATGATAGCGTCCATATAAACTTCTGCCATCTTCCACGAAATTCAGCGATCATTTAGATGTAACAGTTTGCTGCAAATTTTGATATTTTCTGAACTCTATAAATTTCTGGCCTTGCGATCGCTTTTTGGAGCCCCTTGCCCAAAGAAGGAACAAAAAAATTTGTGTTTGCGGGCCTGCTTTTGGAGCCTCGCCTTTTTTAACTTTGGGGCCTCGCGTTTTTTTTTTATTTTTGGGGTTTCGCTTTTTGGGGCCTTGGACTCTTTAGGGCCCCGCGCTGTTTGGATCCCGCTCTAAAACAGGGAACAAAAAATGGTCTGGGGCCCCACACTTTGGGGCCACCATTTTCAAATTTTGGAGGTCTATAACGTTTTCTGGGGACCTTGGGCTCTTTGGGGCCCCGCGCTGAAACACTCAAAACAGGTAACAAAAAGAAAACGTTTGGGGTTGATTTTTTGGGGCCTCGAGTTTTCTGGGGGACTTAGGCTCTTTGGGCCCCGCTCTGGCGCACTGTTTGGGCCCCGCCCTGAAACAGAAAACAAAAAATTCAGAAAAAAAATAGAAGAGAGAAGCGCGGGGCCCCCAAAAGCGCGGGGCCCGTGGCATATGCCGCTTCTGCCATATGGTTAATCCGGCACTGGTCATTGGCTACCTCCACAAAAATAAAATCTACAGGTATGCTCTCAGTGCCCTCACCATTGACGTATTTTCAGATTTTAAGAAGGCAGGTAAGTGAAAGGCCGCATAGTGCCACCAATTGCACAATTACTAATGGGGTCCTGGGGCAAAGCCCCAGGAAAAATATTCAGATTTTTGGTCTTATTTATTTCAAAAGACTAAAAAGTATTGTAAACTTGAAAATCCTCATTTCAATATCTACTCTCATTTAATCCAATGAGCATTTAAATTTTCTTTGGGGAAACGTGCAAATTTCTCTAGGCAAAATATTTGGGGGGTGCACCCCCCCAGAAAATCTGTCTATGGCCCTCACATTATTCCTCCAAGTGCTGTTAATGCCTCACTCTGAATTTAACCCTAGATGCTTCTTTAATTAAAGATAATATTTTCCTGTAACCCGTGGGACAATGACATTCTTATAATATCCAATTCTGGTAAATCATAGGGGCAGCCGACAGGCCTAGAAAATGTGTTTCTCTTCCTGGCAGCAAAACTCAAGAATAGAAATTTCCTGAGTCAGTGTGTATAAGTCAAACAGAAAACTTCCCGGATATAGGTAGATTTCGGAGAACGTATGGTGCCACATATTGTGAGAAACTTCAAACTCAGCACAAGACAATCTCAACTTGCAAAATGCTTTTGGAAACTATTTTTAAGCATTAATTAAGTAAATGATGTAGCATTCCAGTTAGTCTAGGACCTGTATATGAGTTTGTATGCATTTCATTTAGGACAGATAATCTCAACTGTTTTAGGGCAAGTTAACCATGACGGTCAACATGGTAACGCTGCCCGAACCCCAATACGGGACGAAACGTCCGAAACTGACCACACCCAAAAATGACGCTTTCGCCATACTGCTATCTACCAAACCATAAAAGCTTTGGCTATTCTGAGGTGCTTACATGGTTCAGAGATGGTACTATTGGGGGTGGTCATTGGTAAGTGTGAAATGCCTAGCACTAATATTTCACAAGAAAATGGCCATGCAATAATCATACAGTAGTTAAACGTCAATTTGTGGCTTGCAAATTCAGATAAACAGCAGTGGACTCACATTACCTTTTTCCCTAAATCTTTTTGATAGAAACATAAATGGTACTTATTTAAATATATTATCACTGGTTTGGTGTAAAATAGTTAATATTTTCTGACCGAAATAATAATTTGAAATGTGCCTACCTCCTGGAAATGGACGTATTTGGCCAAGTTCTCCACTTTACTCTGCTGTTTATCGGCGATCTCGTCGACATCCTACAAAAAATGTAAATCATCTCAGACATAATGGTATCAAGAACATTTTAAACAAGTTTCAACTTGGTTTCAAGTAGATCATACCTGTTTAACCATCGACAAGGTAAATCCACAACTTTGTCCAAATTCGGCGCCATTTTGTCATCCCATGTCGCTTGTTAACAATTCAGCCTTGTTACTCTTCCATCCAAGCCATTTCCATTCCACTAATAATAAATTTAACCCTTTATAACAGGAGGAAACTAAAAAATCTAAACAAAACATAAGAAATTCGCCATTTTATCACCCTGTAAAATTTCGCTCACGAGTCTTTCAAAACATTCCGTATAAATATCGCGTGACAAAGTAACAGGGACGTGACAGGAGGTGGTGAATTATTTCACGAAGATAGAAGAAGGCTGCGTGAAATAGACTAAAAGCTAAATACAATCACACAAGTCTTTGTTTTATTTCTTGTAGTGACAAATATATACATTTATTATTTATTAATATGAAAAAGTCATGCAAATTAAATGTTGATTGTTGGTTTTACCATACTGTATGGGCTTTCATTTTTCAAGTCTCTACAACCCCCCCCCCTGCCAAGTCCCTGTTGCTAAACCACGCGAGATTTGTATGGAATGTTTTGAAAGACTCGTGAGCGAAATTTTACAGGGTGATAAAATGGCGAATTTCTGATATTTTGTTTAGATTTTTTAGTTTCCTCCTGTTATAAAGGGTTAAATTTA